ATTAAACAATAAAATGCTAATAGAGATTATTTCTGTAATGAGAAATAGCCTTGGGATTTTTCCTTCTCTCTGATGTGACACGGTGTCCCCAGGCAAAGCTGTACAGGAGAATGCAAACAGGGACAGTTCATTCAGAGACCGTACAAAAGATTGCCTCTAAATTATTATGTGCAGTAGATAATAACTCTCACAGAACTGCAACAGATATTATTATTGGTGGTGGTGGTGGTATTATCGTTATTATATCATTATTTTATCATTACTTCATTATTATTATTAGGCTTATTGAATAGCCGAGCAACATGAGTGACATTTTGGGATGAAGACTGACACTTGCTCATACAGGCAGCTGAGCTGGAAATAAAACCAAGGAGCCCTCCCTCCCATCCACCCATTTTATGTGAATCTGCCTGAATGAGCAATAGGAACAAAATAAAATCTCCATCTTCCCTTTAAGTTTTGAAAGCAGGAAGCTGCAGTGAGGACTCTGCAGGGACTTGCTTGGTACAAGAAGGCTTCCAGATGAGTCACTTTACACCCATAGTGTTGAAAGTGGGATTTAACCACTGCAGGTTGTTTCCTATTCTTCCCCTGTGTTACAACAGCAACAAAACATGAACATTTTTATTTTAGTCTACAGTTGCAGGATCATGCTGTGATAGTGAGTGGCTCTCAAATGCCATAGAGCAGGATTCCCTTCCTTTCTGTCACACCCAGCATATTGTAGGCATATATTTGCATGAAATAAATTCATTCACATGAGCCATTTTCTCCTAAGCCTATCCGTGCATTCAGTGCTGATGTTTCACATGTAGTTCTGTTCGCTCCCAACCCTTCCAGCCACACATACACACTCCCAGACACACTCCAGCCCTCCTTCTTACAGATTGCTTCTGTATTTATTGATGAAGCATGTGGTAGAAAATATAAACTTTTATTCTGGCTCACGTAGCTCTAAATTTAGTCTTTTCACATAGCAAATGACAGAAGTAAACAAAGTTAAATGGAAGCCAATAGAAAGACTGATCAAACTGTGAAAGGGTCTTCTAGAGCATATGGAGTAAGCTCCAGATCTTTTGTCTTTTAAAAGCAGCCTGGACAGTGCCCATCCTGCTTGTAATCCAGGGATACTCACTGAATTATGTTCCACAGCTTTCTCATCTCCATGTCTTCCTATCCCTGGTTTCTGGGTCACATAGCTCCTTGCAATAGACCAAAGTAAATTTGAGTTACTCCGCTGACTTCGCTGATCAAAGCTGTGGCCCAGCAGACTGAGTCAGTTCTTTTATCGGAGAGGAGTGAATAACAAGAGCACAACAGCAAAGCAACTGCCGCCTCATAAATGGCTGCTTCGTGCCTCTTCGGAGTGCATAACCGAAGGGCCCTAGCATCTCCTTCCAAAACATTGTTCGTACTTGCCTTGCAGGGCTGGAAGATGGGAGGGATAATTCTGACTTTGAGCATCCACCAGCACAGAAACCGCCAGTGTGTCATAAACCTTGCACGAACCCCCTGCAGCTCTGAAGTGACATTTAAAATCCAATCCGCTGTTGTGCAGCACTGTCCCCTGCGCCTCCCCATGACCGTGAGGCTGTCACTAAATTGTTTGTTGAACAAGTTCAGTGTTATTGGCCACCAGGGGACTCTGGGTGACCTCTGGCATATTGTGAAGCTGCTCCACCTGAATCCAATTTCCCTTTTTTTCTTTCCTTTTGTCTTGTTGGACTGTCAGTAGTTGCTGGAGCCAGAACAACTCCATTTGCAGGGATGGGTGTTTTGGAATTGGCATTTATATCATTATAAATGCATCATATTATTAACTATCCTTCTCTCCATCCCGTGAGCACTGTGCCTCCAGGAAAGGTCCTGTTTCCTGCAGTGCCCATTACAGGCTGTGCTGGGGGAACAGCTTTTGGCATCCCTTCTGAAGCGGCATTTTGGAGGCAAGGTATGCTCTGGGATGCTCAGCCAGGGAATGAGCTGTAGGACTGTGCTTTCTGGCACAGCTTCTCCCAAGGACAATCTGTCTGGGGACTGGCTCTGCCAGTGTTCATCATTCAGGGAGGACAATCTCATATGGCAGGTGCTTTGTCTTGGGCTTGGGCCATCATGCTGTCTGTATGTCTGTCCATCAGCCCCTACTCTTGTGTTTTGCAAAAGCAGTGGCCAGTTTTCACTGGATCTGATGCGGGGAAAGGAGTTGAAGTCTCAAAGACATTAATCCCTGGAAGCTTTATGAAAATACGTGAGCAAGAGAAGAAGGCAAATCCTCTTATTTCCCCACAGATGGAAATCTGCTTGATGAGCTCAGCTTTGTTATCCCCCTGCAGCTGTGTACACTCGCAGGGTGGAGGAGAGACCTGTCCTCTACGCCCAAGAGTTAGCACTTGTGTTTTGCTCATTGCCAACCAATCACCATCTACAGCACTGGCCTTGCTGACCAATCAAGCACCTCCGTTGTCCCACTTCCATTCATGATTGGCAGGTTGCTAAGCAGGTGTGTTGCCTGTCAGCCAACCAGCATGCAGTGTTGATGGGTAGGTGCCTGACAGGCTGTTGTGGTTGATGGGCTCCTCCTACACTTCTCCCATTTGGTGAGGGACACCCAAATGGGGACTCATCTTCAGGTGATGGCGAGGTGGAATGGAGGGAAGAGGCTAATTTCTGAAGAATGGTTTTGTTAACAGAGAGATGGGGGTAAATAAGAAGGAGTTAACAAGAATATTTCAGAGAAGTTAAAACTTCCGAGCCTTTTGGAAGCAGTGGCTTTCTGCATTGCAAGCCATATGGTGGTGAGAGAAACACCTATCTGTGTATAATGGCACAAGGATGTAGAGAAACTTGGAAACATGTTCACGTATTTCACATCTTGGATCCTTGATGGGAAATTAAAGCTTTCAGTCTCACACTGGAAGGCGGTATTTAAAAACAACAGATGATAGTATCTGGCTGTGGTATTTCGAATCCTCAAGAGGTGCCGGCAAAATGCAAGAGGCTATTCAGAGATCTCTGTAATGTGCCGTTCTCTTGAGCTCTGTGCAACAGCGAACAAATGATGAAGGTCATTTTCTTGTCTCCAATGGGTTGTTACCAGATAAAGTGAAATGTCACCTAAGGACATCTGATTAAAAAAGACTGTGCGGAAAAACAAACCCAGCCTATTTGTCACTCACATCTAGCAACAAACATTGAAATGAAATAACTTTGAATTTCCTTCTTTCTTCCGTAAAACTGGTTTTATAGATAATACATTGGTTTACAGTTGCTAAAAGCAGCAGCATTTTTTTAGAGAATACCTCATGCCACTGCAGCCTTGGATGGAAATTTTCTGTTTCTCTTCCTTGCGAGTTCATTAAAATGAATTCTAAGATGAAACAGAAATGGTAATTTCAAAGTCAGGGATACACTGCCTACATACTTTGAACTACATATTATCTGTTTGCCTCCACCTCCTTTATATTCACAGCAGAGCATGCAAGCTGTACTGTGTTTTGCCTGAATTTGTTGCTGGCTGCTTTTTTCTCAGTTGGATTTGTTTTTTCTTTAGAAAAGTGCTGTTCCTAAATACATTCTTTTATCAAAGAAATACACTGAAAAACTTATTTCAAAGTCATCCTGTGCTTGTTTTCAAGATAACAGAGATGCATTTAGTTATTAGTTAATAGTTAGGTGATGATAATGTTCAGCATTACAGCTTTGCACATGTCTGGTCTCCTACTTCCGCAGTGATAAAAGATGGGGAAAGCCCAGAAGGCCTGTAAGCAGTCCCCAGTGGAAGACCCTCTGGACATGATTTTGTTCTTGATTAAAACACCTAAATTTAAATCTCTACCTGTGAACTTGGTATCCAAGCTTCCATTATAGCCAGCTGAGATCTACAATGAACTCAGTTGCTGGTGCCATTTGAGATGCCGTAGAGTTTCCTGGACTTCCTCATGTCTACAGCATGGATTACCTGTACCCTTCAGGAGCAACAACTGGTGGCCCAGCACGGCTGCCTGTAGTTTCAAGAATGTTGATCAGCACAATCCATTTTTCATGACTCATCAGTGGAGCTCAAAGGCCAGTTCACATGATCAGCTGCTGGGAGCTAGGATTGAATTCAAGACTCAGACATGTAGATGTAGGTGTCTCCACATGTGCTAGATGTGTGCACCCACTGTAGTCTGTCAAAACCCAGTTCATACTGGCATTGGAGCTCACTTAAAGGGTTGTCCGCCTGCTAGGCTTTAATTTTAGACCAAGCTGAATGCACTGTAAGCTCCATGGGCTGTGCAAAGTTGCCTATACAGGGGCCAGGTAAGCAAAGTGGCCTCCAGATGCTACTCCAGAAGGGCAAATATTTCCCAGAGCCTCTTCAGTTTCTCACAGCCCTGTGTGGGTGCTGAAGGCGTTCTGGGGCATCTCAGATCACAGTAGACATCTGTGTATGGGCAACTGAAACTGTCCTGCAGTCAACACTGGCCACGATGTCCATGAGGAGCAGATGCATGCAACGTGAGAAATGCTTTCCCAGTATAGAGGAGGAGATGTCCTGGATGGAGACCAAGAGGACACCAACAAGGCAGTTGTCCTGGGGCAACCTTAGGCAGGAAATGATGGTGCCATTGCTGTTAGATAATGTGTAATCCCTTAAACCTCCAAGTCCTGCCAGTAGCAGGGTTGGTGCTGCTTATTTTCTTTCTAAATGGCATCCAGATGAACAGTAGAGCTGTGGAAATCGTATGACTTCATATAATATCGTGAAGGCAGTATGCAACTAGATCAAGGATAGGTCCAATGTTCTATTACTGGGTCATAAATTGTAAAAAAACCAAAACCTTTAAAAATTGGGATTTCCTTTTATGATGGGCAATTACTGATCAAGAATTCAAAGCTATGGAGAATTTGACCATAAAATGGAAAACTGAAAGTTACCTCAGGTCAGCAGGTCCCAGGTACTGTGTTACAGAGCTTGAGGAAGGTAGATCATGGCACAGCTGTTGTATCACAGTGTGTACCAACCAGCCTACCATCTCATGCTGAATTAATGAAAACCCAAGGACACCATCCACTCTTATACTTTGTTGTACAATTGTTTTCATCACAAGACTCCATAATCTCATTTTAGAGTATATCTCTACAACTAAGTAAAAGAATTCTAAGAGCAATTCCTGGCCCCGAGGCAAGGAAGAAATGACCTGGAGAGTTAGGAAACACGTCTTGGAGATAACAGTTGGAGGAGTCCAAAACTAAACCAGGAGTTAAAATAAAAATTATCCTGTTTGAATAAGAGGTGCAATACAGTGTCTCACTCTCCTTAGCAGTATTTGCTGTTAACATTTTATATAATTATGTTATTTATAAAATATTTCTTTTATATTTAGCAGTATAAACATACGGTTACAAATCAGGTACCTGTAGACAAGGGAGTGGTGTCCAGACCCACTGGTTTGTTGGGGCAACCTAATTTGAAGGCAGGTCTATACCTCATAATTTGCTGAGAATTGAAAAGGCACTAGAGTTACTGCAGCACATCAAGAATAAGGTGATGAAGACAAAAGAAAACAGGAATGGGGGAGATCCCTGATAGGAATAATTCTCCTGTGTCCAGTGCTGTCTGACCTCCCAGAGCTCCCTTCCCCAAGGTGTTAATCTGTAGATGGTGCAATTAATTCCAGGGACTCCTTATCACTCAACTGCTGGTAAGAATAATGATGTATATATAGATGGTGATATGTAAATGACCACAGGACATTTCAATGTAGCACAGAAAACCTGATTTACATCCCTGAGCGAAGGAGCTCAGACCAAATGGTGACTCAGCGTGAGTAATGAGAAATGCCTTTTCTCATCACTTGTAAAAGTCACTGAGGCGAATTAGAAAATCAATGTGGCATTGGGTAGTGGGACCACCTAGAGTCAATCCACATAAGATACATCTGAGAAGAATACCTTCCCCATTTAAACCACTTTGAAGGGGAAATAGCTAACCAAAGCCTGTGCAGTATATACTTATTTAGAACAGTAAATGTTTCATGGAGCCTAGAAACCTAATTGCTCCACGTCCATCATGGGTGACACCTGCATTAATTACATCAATTTTTTGCATAATTAGAGCACTTGTGCAGTTGGCAGGGAAGCTGGGTTTGGCTCCCCATCGGTCTGTTAATTATATCGCTCTCTAGGCTGCGTGTGAGACCCCCACAGGCAGTCTGGGGAGAACCAGAAAGCTCCTCTCTCTTAGGTGCCTGGTTCCTGCTCCAACCACTATGCTGTTAATCAAAAGGGGGAAAGGAGGAGCTATGCACATTGAATTTAAGTCAGTCCTGGCTTTTTTAATGTTTTACAACCCAAAACGTGCTCTTGAACTTGTGTACTCTGTTCCTTTATAGTTTTCTTCTTTACAGATCAAAACTGCTCATAACTTCTGAGTGAGTTGCGAAGCTAAAACCTTTATTTTATTTCTTGAATGCTTTGAGACCCTTCCCTGAAAATGTCCACCATGGAAATAAGGTTTTATTTCCCTTCACTCACCATGTTACAAGTCTTAGTTGAGAGGTCCATGCTGAAATGCCTGTATCCTCCCTTCTCGCACCCAGGGAATGATGTGATCCTTTAGCTTGTGGACAGTTTAAGGCAATATCCTCCATGGATGTTAAATTTCCTAGAAATAATTGGAGTGCAGAAAACTTTTCTTTGTAGCCTATTTTTAATCCTAGATGTCATTACATTATTGAACTGAGCCACTGGCAGTGCCCAGAGAGTTTTTTCGTAGTATCCTCTTGCTTTTGTGAAATTTGAGCAAATAATTGTTCGTGAACAGGGGTCTGTAAGAAGCCTGCGCTGCCATGAATTGATGAGAGCACTTCCAAAGACATTTTGCAGTAATGATGAGCTGCTGACTCGCTGTGTGCTTGCTCCATTATATCCTAACAGCAAAAGTGACTTTGTATTGTACCTGACTGCAAATGATCCAAGCTATTGTCTCTCAGCAGTTTTGCTTCAGCATAAGCCAAAACTCGAGCATCAGGCGTGGCTGGCCCTTGCTCAGGGAGCCTGGTGCATTGTAGAGGGTTTGCAGGAAACAGGAGTTGGGTTTAGGGCCTTCCTTGAGTTTTGAAAAAACCTGCTCTGGCGAGGTTGAAATGGGATATATCGGGGTTACAGCCGCTTTGAAGGTCATACCCATGATGCAGGGCTTTCGAAGGTAGCACAAGAAGTTACAAAGAGAAATTGAATTAGAGGGAACTTTTACAAGTATTTTCAGTCTTTCTTATGGAAAAAAACTATTTTGAAAATGGTTCAAGAAACCATTTTGTAAAGCACCACAGCCACAAGATTCTTTATGAATGATCTGGTATGTACAGATGAACGACACTGAAGCACAAAATAATTGCATGTGCTAAGTCAGGTGGAAAAGTCCAAACTAGACCCTCATGCCGCTGAGGCAAAAAATCCTTTTCTACCTTTAATTCCTTCAGTCTGCAACAGTAAATGTAGTTCAGTTTATTGAAACAATGAGCATGTGTTGTCAGGGGATAACCTGACAACACATCTCTTCCATTAAAAAGAATTAAAAATCTGAAAAAAAAAAAGTGATGGGGGAAAAAAATTGAGCTACTTATTGGATGTTTCCAGGATGTTCTGCTGGTCTTCAGCATGCTAATAATGCCTTTGGGTCATCAGGCTTCTCTTTCTAACACGTCTTTCTCTTCTTTCTCTCCCTGCTCAGTCGATTCTGGGAGTCCAGTGTGAAGTGCAGAAGCAGCTGAAGGCCTTTGTCACTCTTGAGCGCTTTGAGCGGATCTATAGCTCCAGCATCGCCGGGTGCCGGCAGGTCAAGAAGAACAAGAACTTTGCCGCTGGGGGCTCTATCTTCGGCAAAGGCGTCAAGTTCGCCATGAAGGACGGGCGCGTGGCCACTGACATCATCAGTGTGGCCAACGAGGACGGGCGGAGGATCGCAGCCATCCTGAACAACGCCCATTACCTGGAGAACTTGCACTTCACCATCGACGGGGTGGACACGCACTATTTCATTAAGCAAGGGCCGTCGGATGGCGACCTGTCCATCCTGGGTCTCAGTGGTGGGCGGAGGACCCTGGAGAACGGCGTGAATGTGACGGTGTCCCAGATCAACACAGTGCTGAGTGGGAGGACTAGACGTTACACGGACATCCAGCTCCAGTACGGTGCACTGTGCCTAAACACTCGCTACGGGACCACCTTGGACGAGGAGAAGGCCCGCGTCCTGGAGCTGGCCCGACAGCGCGCCGTCGCCCAAGCTTGGTCCCGGGAACAGCAGAGACTGCGGGATGGGGAGGAGGGTATTCGCTCGTGGACAGAAGGGGAGAAGCAACAAGTGCTAAACACTGGCCGGGTACAGGGCTACGACGGCTATTTTGTGATCTCAGTGGAGCAGTACCCCGAACTCTCAGACAGCGCCAACAACATCCACTTCATGAGACAGAGCGAAATGGGCAGAAGGTGACAGAGAGGGTCGATGCGGTGACTTCTTGCCAAAGACAGCTACTCTTTTGTGGCCACTTACCTGACTGTGTTGTACTCAATCCTTTTTCTAAACTGAACAAGGTGGGGGGGAGGAAAATAGAAAGAGAAGGAATAATACGGTTGCACTGTAACTCATGCAACATACCTTTTTTTTTTCTCTTTAATTTGGCCTTCACACATTTTTTGCAATGAACAGAAGGTATATTTTGCCGTACTGTGATCACAGTGAGATTTACTGTCTCTTGTCCCTTTTTTGTTTCGTTTTGGTTTGGTTTTTTCCCTCCCTTTGTGAGGAATTTGAAGTGGGGAGTCGTCAACGTACGTCCGTAGGTGTGAAGTGCGAAATGGGTGTCTGTGCTAACTTGTGTCCTCCTAACCCTTTCTGATTTGGGGCAGGGACAGATAGCCTTCCACCCGAAACATGAGGAGCCCATACTGGAGAGCTCTTC